TACCTGTGGGTGAAGTGTGGGAGGAGGACGAGGATCAAAAAACTGCCTCTCTGGTATTATGCTTATTATCTGGGTGACAAAATAATCTGTACCCCAAACCCTGCAACACACAATTTAACTATAAAATAAACTGGCACACGTACCCCTGAACCTTACAAAAATGTTAAAAAATTTATTTGATGCAGGTGAATTGAATGATTGGCTGGTATAGGCCAATAGGATCCCCACATTCAGGACAGCTGCTAAATGCAGCCCTTGCTGCTGTACCATGTTGCTCACTGATGGGTGGGCAATTAATTTGGGAAGACTTTTGTGAACCAAAATGTTATCTCTTGCCAAACACTGGAGATTATTCTTTCCATTGCTAAATAAACTCAAGTGTGTAACTTGCTAGTGCTGAGTCCCAATGTCATTTCTACTTTATTGAGAGTTAATTGTAAGTGTCTTTGGGCAGAAAGAGAAAATGCAATCTTGCATCAGAGTCTGTCCACTGTTAGCTACATAACATCACACATTAAAATTTTCCCAGTTGGAAAATGGAGGCAATAATACACTACTGTCTGTTTTGAGAATCAAATTGGGTAATATATATAGTAGGTGATACATGCGTGAATCCCATATCAGGAATGCTTTCAAATAAAACAAAGCACCATATGTGATGAAGAATGGTTCTGAATTTATTTATTAAGAAATATATAGGTAAGATTCCTGATTCTCGGGAGATAGCCCAAAGTGATCATTAAAAGAAGGAAGGAGGATACAAGAATCATGAGTATATTGAAAAGAAAACATAGTTGTGAAGATTCTTAATCATTTGCAGAAACTTAAGTTTCTTAGGTGAAGAGAATGAAGCTCTTGACTTTAGAGTCAAAGTTGAGATCATGACTCCAAATTGAGAACACACAAAGCTGGCATATGATCCACAAGGTGTAAGAAAAAGAGAATCAGGATGAAGTATTCTGCCGTCCCTGAAGCTGATTCACAAGATATTAAACATGCAGAGAGTTCATAAAAATGTGGGCGACAGCATGGTGGCTGTCAGCAGCAAAGTAAACTGGTCCCCCAAAAGATAAGTCAGTTGAGCAGAAAGTTGTTGTGAGAAGATGGTGGTTCTCTTGGGAGTTGATCAGCAGCAAGAAGGCTGGCAGCAGCTGGACACACAGGTGGGCTGGAAGCAAGTGGTCCTGCAGCAGGTGGTCTCACAGCAGGCTGGGCGGCAGCAGGGCTGGCAGCAGCTGGATCCATAGCTCTGGTTTAGGCAACCAGGCAGGCAGACACTTGTGGGGTGGTAGCAGGTTCTTCTGCAGTAGACAGGTGCACAGGAGCTGGTCTGGCCACAGCTGGACCCACAGTTGGTTTGGCCACAGCAGCTGGACCCACAGCAGGTGGGCTGGCAGCAGCTGGTCACACAGGTGGGCTGGCAGCAGGTGTTTTGACAGCAAATTGGGTGGCAGCAAGGCTGGCAGCAGCTGGACACACAGCAGGTGGGCTGGCAGCAGGGTGTGCTGCAGCAGGAAGGCTGGCAGCAGCTGGTCACACAGGTGGGCTGGCAGCAGGTGTTTTGATAGCAAGTTGGGCGGCAGCAAGGCTGGCAGCAGCTGGACACACAGCTGGAGGGCTGGCAGCAGGGTGTGCTGCTGCAGGTGGTCACACAGGTGGGCTTCCAGCAGGTGGTCCTGCAGCAGGTGGTCCTGCAGCACGTAGGCTGACAGCAAGGGGAGCAACAGTTGGTCATGGTGTCAGGGATGGAGGGTGGGCTTCTGTTCAGAGGTGAGTTTCCCAGAATGTGATGACCCCTTGCAATCTGGACCTTTTATACACCTGGCCTCCAAAGTTTCCACCAATCAGCAGGACTTTTCCTTGCTGCTGTTTACATTGTTTTCCACAGTGCATTTGTGATTCTCAAAGGGTAGTTGTTTCCTTAAGGTTAAACAGATTAAGGTTTAATCTGTTTCTTAATTGTGAATTACTCATAGAAACTTCGTTTCAGATAAAAGGAAGCCCATCTCATCATCAGCATCTTTCCTGCTCTGACCATCATCTGGTCATATGATAGTTCCTGGTGATC